CCCGCCCCTCCCGCCCCTCCAGGTGGCCACATTTGTGGGCCCGGTGACCGCCATTCCTGTGCTCCTGTTCTCCGGCTTCTTTGTCAGCTTCAAGACCATCCCCACCTACTTGCAGTGGAGCTCCTACCTCTCCTACGTCAGGTCAGTGTGGCCCCGGCCTCCCAGGCCATCGGCCCGGTGCTCCCGCGGGTGGCCAGCCCCGGGCGGCAGAGTTCCATCTGCCCGGGGAGCAGTGACCTCCACGCTGCCCCTGCTCTGATGGGCAGCGACCTCCACTCTGTCCCCCGCTCTGATGGGCAGCGACCTCCACACTGTCCCCTGCTCTGATGAGCAGTCCCACCTACTTGCAGTGGAGCTCCTACCTCTCCTACGTCAGGTCAGTGTGGCCCCGGCCTCCCAGGCCATCGGCCCGGTGCTCCCGCGGGTGGCCAGCCCCGGGCGGCAGAGTTCCATCTGCCCGGGGAGCAGTGACCTCCACGCTGCCCCTGCTCTGATGGGCAGCGACCTCCACTCTGTCCCCTGCTCTGATGGCCAGTGACCTCCACACTGTCTCCTGCTCTGATGAGCAGTGACCTCCACTCTGTCCCCCGCTCTGATGGGCAGCGACCTCCACACTGTCCCCTGCTCTGATGAGCAGTGACCTCCACTCTGTCCCCCATTCTCATGGGCAGTGACCTCCACGCTGTCCCCTGCTCTGATGGACAGTGACCACCACTCTGTCCCCTGCTCTGACACCCCTGCTCGCCCAGGTATGGCTTCGAGGGTGTGATCCTGACTGTGTACGGCCTGGGGCGCGGGGACCTGGCCTGCCCGTTCCGGGAGGACCGCTGCCCATTCCAGGAGCCGCAGAGCATCCTCCGCGCGCTGGATGTGGAGGACGCCAAGCTCTACGTGGACTTCCTGGTCTTGGGCATCTTCTTCCTGGCCCTGCGGCTGCTGGCATACCTCGTGCTCAGGTACCGGGTCAAGTCGGAGAGATAGAGCCTGGCCCCGCCTGTGCCCGGCCCCGCAGCAGGCTGCCCGGATCCAGCCCTTTGGGACTGTTTTAACCTGTGGACTGGGACCCCGGGTGCTGGCCCAGCTGCCCTGCCCTCTGTCCACTCCCCCCAGGCTGCGGCCTGGAGCGCGGTGCAGCCCTCCACACTGTGCCCAGGAGTCGTCCAGGGTGATGTGGTTTGTAGCTTCCCCCTTCTCCCTTCAAGGCCTGCATGCAAAGACCACGGGGCCGTCATGCTCCCTCCGGCCCTGGCACCCCTCTGTTGTCTGCCTGGGTGCCCCAGGTTCTCCGCGCCCCACTTACAACTGACCAAAGTGGCCCCCTCTGGGGGTCCCAACCACACAAGTGTTGTAAACAGCTGTTACAAAGTGGAGGTCCAGGGCTGGGCCCTGACGGGGTCCCTGGGAGTCCCGTGTGGACGTTAGAATGGGTAGGAAGGGCTCTGGCAGACTCTTCCTCCCCCTCCTCAGCCCCCCCCCCGC